AGTTACAATTTCTGGTTTACCTGTGCAGGATGTCAGTGTAGCCTGAAAATGCCCCAGTATGTTCTTCTAATTGTTTCTATGGATTTTTAGTTTAATAAGAGCGTTTCCAATACTGCTTTTACCCAATATACTTATGGACCCTGCATGTCTAACCCTCAGACAGTGCAACTAGCAGCAGTGACTTCAGCAGTATCTGCAGTCTATGGGCATGGATTGCTCCCTGCAGCCCCCGAACTGGGACATTGCTCCACCACCAGAAATGTTTGGCATTGCCAAGAGGAAGGCTGCTCTCCAGCCTGTTGTGCAGGAAATCACAACTTCTTTGCTTTTTCAGTTAGGTTCAGTGCAGTATGAGAAGAGGATTGTGTGAGCACTCGACTAACTTCATCAGCATTATTTCTTGACATCATCAAGGCTGTCCTTGTTCATGGGACAGGGGACATACCTGTGATTGCTCTCAAGAGAGTGATCTGCTGTCACCCTTTTGGCCAGCACACCACCATCAAGGCTCTCCGAAGTAGATGGGAGCATCCTTCCCTCTTCAGAGGAATCCTTCTTCCAGGACCACTCAATGCTGACAGCCATACATCACCCTAATCCCAGTTCAACACAGCTGATTCTTTCCTAGAGCTCTTAGGAGCAATATCTTCTCTAGATGTACTCCTGAGATCCTCTCCAAAACCTGTCTCTATTAACTGGTGAATCTCCTCAGTCCCAAAGCTGTCAGTCCCACCTGGCCTTGTTTTCCACTATTTTTTCAGCTGCTTTGGCAAAAGTCCCAACTACCATCAAGAGCTATATCTAAGAGACCCAAAATACATAACTCCAGGGGAAGAAATCCATTTCTCCTTCAATCAGTGCACCTTTCCTTGTTATCTGTAAAGGAGCCAGCATGGCTAAATGTAGAGACTAGCTTTTTTTCTTTTTACTTTTTTTAGGAAAAAAGGCCTTCCCCAGCTCTTTAACCCTCATTAGCAGTTGCATGGTACTACCTATGAGGCAATCAAAATCTGCTCCTTAGCTCTTATTCTATGGGGTTTTAGGAAAGATCTCAATTTACAGCCTGCTGCTAGGACATTGCTTCAGGAACCAGTTAAGCCTTGATACTGCATCTGAAATCTGTGACAGTAGCTGTCTTCAAAAGCTTCTCTTGCCTCTTGACTCTTCCAAAGACTTTCTGTCTTGCATCACAGTTCTTGCCTTTGAGAAAGACCTCCAGATCTCTGCACCATAATTCATCTCAAGCCCTGTGTTGGTAAGCACCAGAAAGTTGATACTGACATTTGCACTTTATCTTTTTGGATGGACAGGAGGTAAATCTTGAGTGTCCCTTCATGGATGGAGAGAGCATTGAAAGGGACATTTCACAGAATCACAGAATCATCTAGGTTGGAAAAGACCTTGAAGATCAACCAGTCCAACCGTAATTTTTTCCCATGGCTTTGACAGTGAAGGACTGCAAGCCACATAGGTGACATGAACCTCAGAGCTGTGGGGAATCGCACACAACAGCATTAATATCACATAATGTCAATCAGCAGAGTAACAACTCATCCAGCCTTTCCTTCTCAAATCATATTTCTTCAAAGAAAAAGAAAACTCTGTACATTTGAGGTGTTGGATATACTCAGCCTTTTGTTTGTCAGATGAACACAAAAGGTAATCCATTTTTCAAGGCAGGACTTACTTCCCTTTAAAGCTTCATCTAAGCAGAGCTCAAATAAAAGTGCCTGCCCTGCTAGGTGCTCCCAGAGGGGACATCTGCAGAGGAGCCCCAGGGAGCTCCAACAGATGCTTTCACCCAGTGCAGACCTCTTACCCACTGCCCATCACTGCTGAGAGGCTTTCACAAGCTCTAGCTCATGCACAACCCCTGTGAATGGCCACACCAACTGCATCTCTTATAGGTTGGTAACTGGTACCGTGTACATACATCCCCCATGCTTCTGCTCCCGGAGGGAGAGCTCGCATGGGATGGGCTGAGGGAAACAGGGCTGTGGTCCAGCCCATGGCACCATGGAGGAAGGCGAGTGTGGAGCACCCCAAGGGTGAGGACCTGAAGGGTGAAGGCTCTCCAACTCAGCAGTACCAGCACCAACAAAGTAAACAGCATTCACTACACAGTGAAGGATTGCATCACAGTAGTACTCCACTAAACTTTTACAGGGTTTTTTTCTTTCAAAATGAATTGGGTGTTCAAGGATCTTAATTTTCCCCAAGATGTTTTCAGCAGCAAGGAAATGCTGATGCAGCTGAGCAGCAAATTAAATTTAGAGTTGAAGTTGGAGCTCTTGTTGATCAAATAGTCTTTGCCCAAGGCTTGTAGCAGTATCCAGCATCAAATATGTCTCCTGGACTGTAGGCTGGGCTCTGGCCATGGCTTCTCCACCAGCTGCACAAGTGAAATGGCTAAAAAATACAGCAAGTATTTCCTGCACAGCACTCCTATGGCAAGTGCAGTCCCCTCCAGCCTGCACTGGCTACTTGGAGTATGGCTTAAGGTACTGATTTTCTCTAGTAATACATGAATTATTTTGGTCTGGAGAGCTGCTGGCCTGTTTTTATGTTTTGTCATGTTTTTTAAATTGCATGGAATGTATCAGGGTCTTATTGTAAGAAAGTTTCAGTCATCGAGAAAAAAAAAAATTAGAAATTGTCTAGCTACGGTAGGTTTTAAATGACATCATTTCCAAAAAAGAAATGTGCTTGGCCTTCATCCTAGGAGGATGGGTTTCTCTGGTAGGCTCCCTAGGCTGAGCAATACTTGTCAGGGAACTCAAAGGCGGCAGGGGCCCAGCTGATGGCCTCACATTCAGGATCCTGAAGCTGTAAATTGCAAATCCTTTGGGGAGGCCCAGGACTTGTCTGCCAGCCTTGCACCAATGGATAGGGCAGTTGTTCTTGAACTAGAGACCCTAGAGCGTCTGGATCGCTAGATAGGGGGTCTGTGGGAAATCCTCCTGGGATTCAGCAAAAAGTTGTTGAATGCAGAAATTTTCTTGCTTGCTGCAGTTAGCAACAAATGCTTTTGAATGATCATGGTTGTGAGATGGAGAGGAAATGTCTGCAGAGGTCCACTTTGATGACTGTCCCCTCCTTGTCACTCTTCTGTCTGCAGGTTGCATCTCCAACAGACACAAGCAATTTTGACAGCTTCCCGGAGGACAGTGATGAACCACCCCCTGACGACAACTCAGGATGGGATATAGATTTTTAATGTATTTCTCTTACCTGCTTCTGCCTTGCTGAAGACAGCTTCTTGGGACATGGCTGCCAGCAAAACCGAAAGAATTGGGGAGGATTAGTGCTCGGGGTCACCATGATGCCTTGATTGATGCTGCTACAGTAACTACAGTGGCATTAGGACTTATTGCTTAGATGACAATAGTGCTCTTCATGTTTTATGTTTGAACTTAAAATAGCAGTTGACATGGTGGTCCTGACGCAAAGCCTTTCACCAGTAAAGAAATATGTTTTCTATCACTTCGATGATCTTGCTACATTCTTAATTATAAAAGTTGAGAGATACATAGTGTTAAGATGCACTTAATTCTAGCTGCAAGGTACTGGCTTTATCAGTAGGATTGATAGTAATTTATTAAGTGCTGTAGCTAAATACAGTGCAGGATTTGGGCTACTCCCACACTCTGAACTCCATAGGTCTTCTACTGTAGGCCAGTGTATGAGCAAAGGAGGACCACAGCGGTACTGGTCAAAGAGTTCATGTCAAAGCAGTGGTAAAACTTGTCCTTTTTCTTTCCAAGAAGTATTCATGACAAGACTGAATGTTACCTTTCCTCTTTACTTCTGAGAATTTTTTTTTTAGCCTGGTAAAACAAAAGCACAACTGCTCTAGATCCTGTTAAGGCAGATATGGGTCGCTTCTCTCATAAAGCTGAGAACATACTGTAACATTATGCTTGGATTTTTTTTTTTTTTCCTTTCCCTTGGTACAAATACATAACTGCATGAAAAAAAATGATAAGATTAATCCATTTCACATATTAAATAGTGCTTAAATAATGGTCCAGTACTAAAGTGACAGCAGCCCACTGGTCTAACTGATTAGCTGTTAGGCATAAAATTAAGCTTAACTTTTATTTTTTTAGAACACAAAGGGAAAACATAAGACCCATAATGTACTTTATAGGTGCTATGTACATCCCCCATCTGTGAACATACCTATTCAGTCAGCCACCACTTCAGAAATATGTAGCAAGGGGCATCATTCTCCATCACACTCTTAGATGATTTTATGTCTCCATGTCTGCATCTCTTCTGTGTTTAGTACAAAGCTAATTGAAATAAAAGGTGGTACTGAGCCAGTTTGCTGGCTCTGTTTGTAATACTGCCCATAAAAATGTAATCCTAATGCTTCACCAGACTAAAGAAGCTCCACAGGAAAGACAGTGGAAATAAATGGAAAACCGATACCGGATGTGTTTGTGCAAGATCTCCCTGTCTCCAGCGTACCAGGTCCCCAGTGACTGTGTTTAAGGCACGGGGATAGCTAGAGCCAAGTTGGCACATGTGGAAAAAAGAGCTGGAGAAAACAATATTATTGTGTGCACACTTTTCCCTCATTTCCACTGCTTTTCCTTTATGTGAGTACAGTCTTTTCTAATTTATAGGATGTTACAGAGGAATCCTGTCCTGGATACCTATCTGTTGCATATACATGGGACTAAAAATTTATCTCATCATACCGATAAGAAACATCAGCTTTCAGTATCTATAACGGACCTTGCCCACAAAAATTAGCAGGTGCTGTCCCAGTATATGCTGGAAGTCAGAAACCAACTTTTGCTGAAAAGTCAGTCATAGGACTTTTGCCTACATAGTACATGGAAAATGTATGTTTTAACAGTAAAGTATTATTTCTCTGATGTTAAATCCCAAAATGAAAGCGACGTAACAAAGCATATTAAAAAAGGTGTTTTCTCCCGTTCTTTGACAGCATTGACAATGTCTGCTGTTTGCCAGTAAAGAGCTTGGTCATCATGACGTCTTTGAAACTGGTCTGTGTTGCTGAATTTCCTTCCTAATTTTCCCAAGGGTGAGGCAACACCATTAGCACAGTAACTTCACATTATTTTCATTATTCATTAATCATTAAAACTTTGTTTGCGTTCAAAACCATAGGGAAAATACAGTATCTACAACTCCTGGGAATGACTCATATAAGGCAAATACACGCTCGCTTTTCAGCCTTTATCTGAGGGATGGAAGACACTGAAAGCCAATGCTGAGTACTAGGGCTAAAATAATCACTAGGCATCTTAGCAAACAGGCTGCTGCCTAAAAGCCAAATTCTTTACTTGCATCCCCCTGGTTTTTCATTCAGTGATGCAGCGACATTGGAGGAGAAAACTTGTTGTGGTTGGTACCTTTGTATAGAAGAACACAGGTGCCTTTGTATAGAAGAACACAGAGAGGTGTTTGTCCCAAAATGATGATATTTAGTAGCTGAAGATGCAGTTGTCAGTCAAGGGGTTGCCGGGAGGAAAGAGTATCACGATTTTGGGGGCAACCCAAAAACGTTACGGAAAGAATGTTTTAAAATGGGCCGATGAGTTAGTTTTTCTTTCTTCCTGTCCCTTTTTCCTTGTGCCACGCACGGTAATTAATCCCAGAGCGTGTGGCATGCGCTGTACCGAATATGTTTATTTTGATATCAAACACCTCACTCAACTGTCATCACCTTTCCCAAGAATACTTTAAACAGCATAGTTAGCATATGTATATGATAAATGCCTTCATTTATAAATAATATATTTGAGTTGCATTATATATATATATATATTCACAACAATGGATTGCTTCTGTGTTTCCACTTACTGTCTTTTCTTCTTTGTCTCCTTTTATAATATATGGGACAACGGCGTATTTACGTAAGGGGAAATCAGCTCCTGTATTTAAAATGAGTGTATTGATTGGTGTCGTTAAGACACAGATGATCCATAGCTTCTCACAGTGCTGCATTATCCATAGCAAACTCTTATTTAACAACAGGACCACAAGCGAATATTTATGTAAATAGGTATTTTCGTGTTGATATTTTGTGGTACACATATAACTTCTTCTTTTAGAGTTCCATGGCATTATTACTTCATTTTCTTATTTGTAATGTAATGTTTTTAGATCAAGGTAGACTTGAATTAATGTCATAATTGTCAGTATTATTAAAGTTTATGTCAACTGTACTGTTAACTCATCTGTCCCATAGTTCTAGAACATGACTAGCTATATCTGGCATTGTTGCAAGTGCCTTAAATCCATGGCATCCTATAAAAAAAAAAAAAATTACAAATTTGGTGTTATGCTGCATGACAAAGACAAACACACCTCAAAATGTCGTCCTTTCTTAGCTTGCTGCGTTTTACAGTTCTTTCTGCTACCGATTTCTAAGCCTTTATTATATAATATTGATGAATTACAGAAATGATGAAGTCGTTCTCTTATTTCTGTTCAATGTACCAGAGCTGTGTATCTGTTAATGAGATACAGAGTCATTTCTGTGAAATGTATAAATGTTATGTGCAGGTCAAATTAATATATGACATCCTATCAGTCCGTAGACAGGTATTCCTGTTTTGCTAAGCTGTGCAGATTCAACCCATTGTGCCGTCCAGCACCAACCTCCTGTCTTACACAAACCCCTTTAGAAATCTCCCACCTGGAAAAAATTACGAGCAACTAGGTGTGCAACCCGACCTGTGTTTTTTTGACCTGAAGCCTCAATCCAAAGGCGTAGCTCGTTTGCACCACTCAACAAAACAGGATCCGTGCTTTTCCCCTGACTCATTCTATGTGCAACCCACCACGGAGGCAAGCCCTTTGGTGCTCCCACAGAGCTGAGCTGCGAAGTCGGATGCTCCTCATCCTCCGCAGCTCCCCAGCCGCGTAAACCAGTTGTAACGCTGAGACTTGAGCGGTTTTAGGGCTTTACCGGCAAAAGGGGAAATTTTCGTTTGGAGTTGCCTATTGTCCTGAGTCCCAATTTATGCTGTTTTTAAACTAGCCCTTTGTTTTATATTCTTATTTTCTCCAGTTTTCTTCTTACATGAAAGAGGTTTTGTTTGTCAGACAAATGTTGGTCATCCACCGGTCATCAGCCGGTTGCACTCTTTTGATGTAGATTTAAGAACTTTTTTTCATAAACTTTAACTGCTTTTGTTTTGCTCTGTATTTTCCCTGCAGCTGTAATTGCCGAGTGCCTGTTGTATACTTTATAGAGTTGAAATAAAAATAATTACTTTTGAACGGTGTGTCGATGGCTTTCTTCCACAGCAGAAGCCAAGTTTGGGAGGGTTCTTCCGGTTAGTGGTTAAATTGGGGGGTTTTGTTCTCATTTATGATGATATGCAGTAAGAGGTAACAGAACAAAATGTATGGTACTTAGAGATTAGTACCGGCATCCAGATTTTCTGCAGAGTGCAAAGGCACAGTTACCATACTTTAGCGCTTATTTGAGGAGCAGCATCACCCCGAGCAGCCTGGTGGAGGGGTCCGGGGCTGATGGGCGTCCTGCTTCAGGCAGAGTTGGTGCTGGGTGACCCCCACAGCTCGCTTTTAACCCAAATTATTCTGTGAACCTACTAAGCAATGAGCACATGTGCTCTTCAGGGATGAAGAATTCAATTTACAGTTTGGTTGCTGCCAATATAAGCAAATCCAGGGCTCACAATTGGGAAGGGACCCTATTTCCAACATGAGTTGTGTCATGCCTAGATGGGATGTGACTGCAAACAACACCCGTGTAAAAAATGATGGTGTCCTTGTCATTGCTGTCGTTACGGGAAATGCCAAGAGGTGGTGATGGAGGCACAGCCATTAATGACAGCCCAGCCATGGGCTGTCATGCAGACATCACCTCTGTGTGCGGGATGATGCAGAGACTCTGCCCATCCCGATGGATTTAAATCCATCCCTGGGAAACTGCTCAGTCCCCATGTGACGCAACCATCTTTAAATCTCAGCACGGCCAAGGTTAAGGGTGTATTTCAGTGCTGTGTGGACGAGAGGCAGGTAAAAACTGGGGAGAGGAGCAAGAATAGATCCTCCTGGGAGGGAAAAAAAAAAATTGATAACTGCCTAAGCAGGAGCCGGGAAACATCATGAAGTGATTTTGCAAGATGCAGCAGTAACAGATACAAGTTAATCACACACTAAGGAGCCCGGGGTGACGTGGTTCTCACCTGAAACTGCATGGGGCATACAGGGATTTGGGGGCAAGGTGTGGCCCTCATTCTTGCAGGCTAAAAATAGCCCCCGAGCGCGGCGGGACGGCCGCTGCCCGCTGACTCAGCAGCGCCGCTTCCGCCCGCACCTGCGGTAGGTGCTGGGCGAAACTTTCCCGGGCAATCATTAGCCCAGCTTGAGCTCCTCGGGCCGCAAGCCCGCGGTAGCAGCGCCCTGCAGGGCGACAGCGATCCCCGCCGCGCTGGAGGTGCGGTTCACCTGCAAGACGGGGCGGCTGAGATCGCCCACCCGAAGGGAGTAAAAGTACTGACGGTGCGCTGGGGCAGCGCTGCGGGGGTCAGGGGTTTTGGCCGGTGTTTTCTTTCCAACGTCCCTTAAAAAATAAATAAAAAATAAAATTAAATAAAATGAGGCCTTTATCAGAAAAAAAAAAAAAAACAAAAAACAAACAAACAAAAAAAACCCAAAAAACAAACAACCAAAACCACACAACGGGTTTTAACCAGGTTCTGCTACCGCACCCGCGGAATCTCCCGGGGGGGGGCGGCGCGGCCCCGGAGCGGCCGCCAGGGGGC